GGAAGAGGCGGAAGAAGGCGAAGCCTCAGCGACTGGGGCAGCCGCAGTCCGTGGTGATGTCCGCGAAGGGGACAACGTGAGTGGCGAAGTCCCGGGCGAAACTTGTAGAGAAGGCGAAGTCGGGGATGCAGGGCGCGCCGCTGACTGCGAAGACACCGGTGGCGCAAGAGCAGTCGACGAAAATGCCGATGCCGGCGTTGCGGATGGCGGCAGCAGACGCGCGGCGGTCCGGGTGGTCTTGTTTGTCGAGCGGGACCTGCTAGAGCGACGGGCAGGCGACGATGTCCGAGGGACGATGGTAGCCCGCGGCTGGCGTCCGAAATAAGCGGGACCGGTGACGGTGCCTCCAGAAAAAGCGGTAGTTTTGGCCCGAGTCCGTGAAGAAATGAGCGGTCCCTGCTCCGGAAGCGAAGACACAACGTGCACATATCTAGTCGCCAAAGGCGCGACAGGAGATATCACGCGGGACGCATCCGAAGTCAATGAGGAAGCAGGCCCTGAAGATGCGAGAACAGGCGAGACGATGAAGACCCCCGGGGACCGCTGAAAATTCTCGCAGGCAATCGTTGAGTCCGTCAGAGCATCCAACCGACGCGGATGATGTCGGCGAAAATACCCAAAATCGGAGGGCTGCAACGCTGGGGGCGAAAAGACTCCTGCCGTGCAAGGGGGGCGGAGCCCACCCAAGCCGACCTCCGGTGTAGACGACGAGTGATAGTTGCGCCCGCAAGGCCAAATGAGGAAAACACTCGCTTGATCGACACCATCAATGCAGTCGGGGCCGGTTTTGTTCGTGTCTTGTGCTGGTAAAGGCAACCGCGAAAGAAAATCCGCGTTGCCGTTTGCCGAACCTTTCCGATATTTCAGGGTGTAGGTGAAGTTGGACAGGAATTCGAGCCATCGTTGCACCCTAGCGTTGTGTTCCCCAACCTTGCCATTGCTCTCCAATGCTTTGTGGTCCGAATAGATGATGAACTTGGTCGACCACAGATAGCCGCGAAGGCGTTTGATGGCCCAAACAATGCCACCAGCCCTCCAGATCCAAAACGGTCCAGTTACGCTCCGCAGGAAGGGTGGCGCGGCTGATGTACACGATGGGTCTCACCGAGCCATCGAGCTGATCTTGTTCCAAGGAGGCGCCAACACCGTCGATACACGCGTCGGAACACAAACGAAGAGGACGACTGTTGTCCTCGATTGCTGCCCAATCCGGGAAGACCAAAATCGGGGGGCGAGCGAGTTCGCTTAACAACGTTTTGACAACCTTGACCATGCCCGGGTGTGTACTTGAAGGGGACGCCTTGTTTAAGAAGAGAGTTGAGAGGCCGCATCTTGGTGGCGAGATTCTTGAGGAATATCCGGTAGTAACTGAGTCCACCGAGAAGGCTCCGAAGCTGCTTAACATTCGGCGGCGGCGGCATGTGCGTGAGCGCCCTAACCTGGACGCCATCAGGGCTAACACCTGCCGGAGAGATGGTGTGACCGAGAAAGTTGACCTGCGTGGCGCCGACGCGAGCCTTCCCAGGCAGTTTGAGGTTGTACTGTCGCTGTCGTTTGAAGAACTCGATCAAGTTCAGTACGTGTCCCAGAGGTTCCTCATCGAAACAGAAGGCATTGTCCAGATAAGCAAGCACACGCTCCAGACCGTGCACCACTCTGTTGATGACCTTGACGAACCAAGACGGACTTGCGTTGGCGCCCTGCGGCATCCGAAGCCATTCAAAAACGAGAAGCCCACGGAGATGTGGAATGTTGAATGAGCTCTGCCGCCAAATACTGGTCCAAAACGGCATCCACTTTCTTTTGCATCAACGGGTTGATACGATACGGGCGTGATGCAACGGGCTCCGTCCCTGCTGGGACAGAAAGCGTGAACGGCATGATGGTGCAGGAACCAAAATCGTTTTTTGAAGTAGAGAACACGTCAGAATACTCCACAAGGGCGTCGGCCAAACGATCAATAGCCTCCGGTGTCCATCCCGGATTGTGTAGATCGAAAGCGATGTCGTGCATATGTGCGGGCAGCCTAGCCCACAAGCGCATGAAGCTGGAGCGCTGTGCCTCAGAGAAGCGGTCAAGTTGTTCTTGTGGAGGCGGCTTCGGAGGAGGCGGGGCGGAGGCTGGGTCCGGAGAGCGGTAAGTCCCGGACTTGGGGCCAACGGCGTTGACCCGAGGTGGTCATGTAGATGTTGTGGGGCCGGTAGGAATCGAAGATGATGCCGCCTTCAGGGTTTCCACCGATACTCGTAGTAGCGGCGCGGCAGACACTCCAATTACGCCTCCAGGCTCGAGCTCGGCACAACCTGCAAGGGGAATACGCTGGAGACCATTGG